GGGGGGGGGGGGCATATGATAGTATTTTCATTTCTATGAGGGCCAGGCCCCCCTGGACTCCCCCTTCGTTTGTCTATGGCAAGGGAGTTGAGTCATGAGCCATTGAAGTCGAGGATGCCCAGACTGGAGACTCTTAGCATCTGATGACGAAAGAAAATGAAACGCAGTCACTAAAAATATCCCTCTGTACTGAAAATCTTGAAAAAAGATAGAAATTTTCCAAGAAGTATACTTCTTTGAAAATTTAAGAAGAATTCTACAGTGCCCCAGCGTGTTTCTGAAAATCTATTCACCTTTTGCGAAATTTTTAGGGTAAATTTTTCACTTTTTCTTACTAAACAAGGGTTGCATGTGAATTCGTAGTGGGTTTTCACGGGTAACACGGACCCCCTCCGAGGCCCGGACCCCGGTACCAGGGGCCCAATACCCCCCCCCCTTGTGGCGGGACTGCCGTTTGGTTTGCATTGTGATTAAGGAAATCACGGAAATTGACTTGAATGAAACATTAAAATAATATAATTTTCGTCTCCCTTCGAAAAAAATGCGGCATAGTTAGAAGTGTTCTTACTCGGCTACGTTCCATTCGTCCATCGTTCGTGGATGCACGGCATGTCGGAAAGCGATGAAGTTGCATTGGTGTCAACACCTCATATTTTTCCTACATATTTTCGATTTTCACTTTAACTCATTAGGGATGGCTGGATTTCGTTCATTTTTGTCTTTCTCACGTCTATCTCCAAGCCATCACCTATAATCGCACATTAATTTAATTACTGAACTTGCAGCTGATAGCTCCACTGATTATGGCCAGCCAATAGCGTGTAGACTTGTTGTCTCACCACCTGTGACGTCAGCAAGTCTATAAAAGCTTGCGCTGCCCTAAAATCGAGGTCCTTTACCATCTGACCCGTACTAGTACGCTGTGCCACTTCCGCCTCTATGGCACATCCCTGTGTGACAAATCCAACTCTTGTTAATTTATAAATCTTTTCAAAATTCTCTACTACAATATTTTCGGTTCATTCAATTATTGTATTTTTCCTTATTATTCAACCTCCTTCAGTTTGTTGATTAAGCTTAAGATCAACTGGTGCCGAAGATTTTATTAAGAACACAATCAAGTTCCGAAACTCCGCTCTCGTTCTTTTGATAGTGTTTCAAACATCTTTATTGAGCACTACCAAAGCTGTTACAATTGGTCTATAGTATTGTGGATCTAAGACAACTACGCGTGGATCTAAGGCATTTCATATTCGTTTAGCCGCACAAAATAGCAAGGCCAGATTTAGGCGGTGGCCACATTTGGGCCACGGCCCATGACGGCAAATTTTGCAATTTTTTCAAATGTAGGTATCAAAAAAAAAATAAATAAATGAAAAAAAAAAATAATCAGATTCAGAAAAAAAATTACGAACGAGAAAAGGGGACAAAATCTCTCATTTCCTAAGAGTTAAAGTATAGTAACTTCCAATTCGTTCGACTTTCGGTGATACAAGAGACAGCAACTTTCATTAGTCTAGCTGAGAGAGAAACCAAACACGCGATTAGGCCTGGAACAGCGCGGCGCAGAGAGCAATGATGACGAGGACTTGAGATGAAAAGGAGAAGCCCTCAGCGCGCAGTTCAGCATGAAACACGTATTAGCGCCTACAAGACTCCATGAATACTTCACGCATTGCGTCAAACGCAGTGCGGTCAGCGTGAAACGCATAGCGCCAACAAGACTGCATAAAATACTTCACGCAGTGCGCCAAACACAGTGCGGTCGGCGCGGTGACGCAAATTAAACTCCACCACAAAAATCAAACTCCAAATCAAAGCACATTCATGTTTGTTCTTCCATAATTTTTTCGTTCATTTCTTATAAAAGTGAAAGGCCTTGTCCACATAGAGATAGGTTTACGGAACTTAACTTTGGCGCAAAGTACCGTGAACTTTTGCTAGTGTTGACACGGCTTTTACAAAAAATGTGCCCAACACGAGTAAACGCGTCTTATGCACCCCTCCTCCTCCGGCACGTTCACTTGATACTCTGTATCGATGTTTCAAGACGAATGAGAAGGGATCGGGAAAATACAGGCGGCCCGTGGGCGGCAAGGAGGTAAATCCGGCCCTGAAAATAGGCAAAGAAAAAGTTGCAACGTCGTAAATTGAGATATGACTGTTTTTACCTCACGGTCAATGAAAAGAAAATGTGTAACTGCGCACGCGCTGGGGTAGAAGGTAATATTAGCGGCAATCGTAATCTTTCGCAGTCAAGTCGAAGCGATCCTATAGGCGCTCTGAGCAACTATTCAGCCTCTGAAGTGTTGCACAGTATCATACGAAAATGAAGGCGCACTGACGTACGTAAATTGTCTGGTATCGCTACCTTTTGTGTAGAGTCCTACTGATTGTACGATATGCGCTTCCTGTCGATCGATTTTAGTGAAACTTGGTAGCAAGTGACATTTCTTGACGGGAAACTTGAATTTCAACTCAAATTTTCAAAACTCGAAAATCTAAGATGTTTGGATGTGGCCTGAAATGCTGTTGCAGCTGAATGCTGCCCCTGTTTGATTTATTTTCGTGATGCAAAATGTTTTTCTCCTCTTTCAGGTACGCTTAAGATTATGTTCATCATCCTGAAGATTGTATATTTATTACTCTGCTGGTCTTTCTGGGCAAAATGTGCACCAAACGTACTGGATTTAACCACGAAGAGATATGGATGTGGTCCGACCCAGTGGTTTAATTACAGTGCGTACGGAGCGTTGGTGATGGAGTGCAAGCCCGGTGAGATTCCTAGATGCTGCAATGATTTGATGGGTCATTTTTGCGTTCCTTTTCCGCACAAGGACTGCCATCGAGGACTATACTGCTACCCTTGCTGTTAAGTATTAAAATGACACACCCATTAGTACCTATAATCACCTACATAACTGATTTCTCATCTTTACTTTTTTATAATTTTATTATATAAATGTGAAACAAAGAATAAATAATGATGCCTTGCTGCGCATTAAGTACTTTTTTCTTTTCTTTCATGAATGTACAGGGTGTCCTAAATATGTCTTGAACTGCCAGAATACAGAGGCATATTCTACAGATCGTAATAATACTATTTTACTGCGTAAAATTGTTTCAAAGTGTACCGTTAGTGCCCTTTGACATGGGTACACAATGCTTATGAGTCTTAGAAACTAGAGAAAACTTGTTCTTTTGAAAGTAAAAAATTGTGAACTGCGGCTGGGTCAACAGGTAAATCAGGTAAATTATAGCATCACATTAAAAGAAAAATAAGTTCGATTCTAACAAATAAATGCGTTTATTCACAGAATATAAATCTAATTTTATTTTTACAATCACAGTGGACAAAAATCCTTGTACAAGTTAACTCCAAGTAAAGGAATGAATATGAAGTTGAAAAATTTTTCCCCTTAGGGTATTTTCTTAAGAAGAAATTAATTCTCTCAACAACACGTAACTCAAAAAGAGAGATACATTCATGTACTTAAGTATTTATTCTTAGAGATGAAATATAATTCTTCACAATTGATTGAACTCTCTGCCTTCCCGTCAGTCAGCTAACTTGGCTTGACTGTCAAGACTCAACTACTTAAATATGCATCCTTTCATTTCTCACTTCTAAAAATTACACTTAATGACAATTTATAATTCATAAGCTACTCAAATAATGAATCAATAACCGTCACTGCTTGGTTCCCTTTTAATGCGATCCTTCTTGGAATACCTGACATCAAGTGAGACATCGCGTTCCCTCTTCACGTCTTTCCGAAACTTTTCCTTTTCTTTCTTCTTTTTTTTCTTTCGCCTAGAATCACTGTCAGAGCTACTGTCGCTGCTACTGTGACTTGAGCTGGGAGACCTATGCCTTTCTCTTTTGTACTTTCCTTCGGAAGGTTCTTTTTTAATATGTCGATGGACGCTTTCCCGCTCTGAAAATGAAATTGCATTCTGTGATAATAATTGAAGATATTTCTTTTCTAAGTTAAAAAAAAATGAAAAATAAAATCAGACAAGAGGAAGAAAAAATTACTTGATGTGATCAATAATGTCCTTAAAAAAAGTGTCCAATGGATGATTGTGCTTCAAAAAAAGGCACCTAATAGGATATAACACATCTTCCAAAAAGTTAAATAGGACTGGCAAGCTTATTTAACCCCTAGGTAGCAATTGCACTATATGTACATTGTTTTGGCTCCAAAACAATGAAAAAAATAAGAGACTACGTGATAATCACTGTAATATCGTAGCATGTACACAAATTTTTCAGCAGTTGTTTCAGAACACAAAAGATGACATAATTTTCGCCTTCGTATCACAGAAAATACACGGTTTTTATAACAATGCAGGCATAGTATTCATAAAAGCCAACAGATTGAGATAGGTAAAAACCTAAGACATTCCTCAAATTTTACTTGATACCACATACCTACTCTGGAGTTTAAATAGTTGCTCGCATGATTTCGGTGTTTGAAAAGGTGAAATATTACGCAAGTTCCATCTCAATATCATGAGATGTTCACAATATTTTCAGTAGATTCTTTCAAGCAAAAGAAACTACTTGCTTCCCACCTCAATATCGCGGGGCGCGATATTTCCAGCGATTTTGTAATAAAAAATGAGAAATTACACAATAATTACCACATAGTTGCGGAAAATATGCAATTTTTCCAGCGGTTTTGTAGAATCATTCAAAATTCCATGTTATTCAATTCAAAATTGCGGCACATACGCAAATTTTCCAGCAGTTGATTATTGCTAGCATTAATAGAGGAAATCATTGACCTTATACTGTTCTAAGAAAATCAGGGTTTGAAAAATTTTATCATGTTCACCTCATTTTGACCCAAACTAATGAAACATTTATTTGTACAGACTGAGAACTAAATAATTTTCTATGACCAAAAATATTCAAGAAATCTTACCTCTTTTAATATTTTCAACTGGTACTGGCAAAGGCTTCGCGGCAGACTGGTTACTCACGCTGGGCGCACAACCTTCTTGTCGCATACGCCTCACCTCAGGGTCCAATTTTTCCGAGTCTTTTGGTGGCTTGTAGTCCTGACAATGATCAACTCTGATCGTACGACCAAGAAGCTAATGGAGGGAAAATAAAACCAAACATTATTAAGTTATTTCTTAGAATAATAGTGAGTGTCTTTTGTTGAACCCTTAACAACCCTACCTGTGGCAACCCTGATCTGTACAGCAGCTTTGGTCTGTTTTGTTTGAATATTTCTCCTGAACTAAGAGAGGAGTTGCTGTAAATAGAGGAGAGACCCTTAAAACTCTCAGATTTAGTGAGAAACTTTACATTCCTTCTTTTATATTTAAGTATTGCTTCTATTGTCCTGGTTGGGAGGAAGGTGAAATCTTCGATTAAAAATTACCTTCATTCCATTTAGATTATCGACAGTCAAGATGGTGCTCCTTTGATCTTCAAAACAGATGAATCCGAATCCTTTATGTTTACCAGTGGCTTTGTCACGCACCATATTCATGTTCACTATCTCTCCAAACCTATAAAAAATTACAAAATAAAATCAAAGCGATTTTGAATGAAGCAGAAGACGAAGTGCTACACATTCCAACTATAACAATGCCTTTCAATCAGGGTGAATAATAAAAGGGAAATAACCACTTTTAATTAAGTACTACAACTTTAATAATTCAAATTAAAATTTTTTAATTATACTTTAACACTAAGCTAATGTTTTTGGTAAGATTGAAGATGCTTCCTAATGGGCCAACAAGACTTTAGTTCAGGTGCATGATGTGAGGGAATTTGGATTTATGGTAATTCCATCCTTTCAAATCTTTAAAAACTGATTATTTTCTAACACTGTTAACTGTCACTTGTCTTTCTGTATAGTCAATGTTTCACATTACACAGCAATGAAGGGGACCAGACAGAGGAAACAAGGGAAAAGAATTTGTAAAAACCGGCAAGTTTTTAGCCCTTCTAAGGGTTTTAAAGTGGTAGCATGGTAAACCCTGTTACCTAGAGACATCTTAATATGTATATTGGTTATATTGGCTGCCAAAGTTCGAAATGATGTATCTCTGCTTTTGACATTGTAGACTTCCTGTCATATTTAATTAAACTTTGGAAGACAAGTCAACTAGTGTATTTTGAAAACTTCGTTGATTTCGTTTCTTGGTTTGCGAAATGTTCTGAAAAAGTTCAAGTTGTAAAATTGGCTTGTTTCTCTTCAAAAATATGATATAACAAAGGAAATTTTGGAACTCTGCGATCCAGATACATGGTTTTGCACTTTGGTCATCAATATTTATAAAAAAGTAGCAAATTTTACAATAGTCTCAGAACTTTCTTAGCTAAGTAAGTTCCAGGCTTCCATTTGTCCAAACGATATTTAACACCAAACAGAATGAAGTGTTCAAGTGACTTACTGAGAAAAAACACATAAAACATCTCCTTCTGTCAAATCATAGGGGATACCACCCACAAATATCCATGCACTGTCCTTATATTGATCATGCCAGGATGACTTTGAGCCACGCTCTAGCTCTTGCTCACTTAGTTTCTTCACATTCTTGATGTTCCTAAAAACATAACAGTCACAAGGCTTTTTGAGCATTGAATTTCCAACAGAAATTCGGATAAAAATTATTTATTGATAAACCTTTGGAGGCTCATGAGAGATAAAGTCCAAGTAAGTTGTTCATACCTGAGTGAGTTCTTTCTAAAAGAGAACACGTCCATTTTTAAATTGACCTTATGCTACATGATGGTACTGGTGTTTAGAGGTTTATCTAAAAATGGGAATGTTCTCTTTCAGAAAGAACTCATTCATACGTCAAAGTCATTAGCTTTGTGCAATAAAACCTATTTCATAGATGAGTAAGAGCTGAAATGCTAAGAATTCATGAGGAAAAGCTACTTAGCAAAAACCTGCACGGACGATTATGTTTACAACCACTGAGAAAAACAAAAATTCGCTAGGTGGTCTACCAGCAACCTAGCCATTACAGTCTTTGAACACCCGGAAATAAAAAAGCACAGTTTCAATATTTCAGGTCTCGTTTCACGGTGTAAGCTGGCAATCACATAACTCAGTTTGTGACGTCACAGACTTCCTTTCATATTATTCATATTATTTCCTTTCCTTTATTGTTAAACAGAAAACTACTCAACAGCAATTCTTAAAAACTACCTAGATTTTTCCTCTTTACGCGAAGAATTTTCTGCATTAACTTCAAGGAATGATGTCAGTTTGTTCCCCTGTAAAAGAATGACATAGAGGCAGAGATTTTCAGACATTACATACGAGGTATGTAATTGCGGACTTACACCGTCGCTATGCTAAAAGCTATGCATGGAGGGCAGGGTTTGTCTGATTGAGAGCTGTTTTCTGTCACATTGCACCAAATGGAGGTGAGTAAAGCAACTACCCCATGCTTTTAAATTAATCTAATTGAACTGAAGTTTATAGAAAATTCTGTTAAAATGCATATTACCGCAGAGAGAGGAGGAGAGGACTGTAAATATGTACTTACGTTAATGGATTCATAACTCTACCACGTTAAATAAACTGATTGCAGAATTTAAAGTATAAATTAATAAATCATGACAAACGACCGTTCTGTGTATCAAGAACTATGAAAAAAACCTTTGTTTAAAAAGGTAATTGACATTGACACATTGTCGTTCTAAAACGTATGAACTTTTTTCCAAAATTAAAATTTTCAAACCCAATTACCCAACAAACCAAAACAACAACAATAACATAACCTCTCCAATTTGTCTATCATCGCTCACCACTCCCGAATCAACATTCAACTTTTTATCCCCTGGCAAGAGGGCGGGAAAAATGGGCGGGAGAGTAAGCGCGCGAAATACAAAATGACGGGCCCGCAAAATCTGAGCGCATTATTTTCATGGCTCTCATTAAACCGGATCAGATTTGAAAGAGACAAATATTTCATCGATCCTTGCATCTCATCAGGGTTTCAAATTTTAATATAGATTAGTTTCAAGTATATTTTGATTTTTTTAACGATTGGGCATGCCGATACAGCATTTTAAAGTTCGAGAATAGTGAAGTTAACAGTGAAGTGAGTATGAACGGGACGGAGGATGGTTTCATTGATCATATGAGCTGCGAATATGGTTACCAGGGATATCGGTATCATCTGTTTAGTAGAGAGGGAAAAATCGACATAGACTTTTTTTAGGTTGGTTTTGTGCAAAATCAAGATGGGACAAATTTAAGTTATGATAAGATATGAAACTTTTACTCCTCATCGCATTGATAGGAATAGATGTAATTGGCGGTAATTGTTTAACGTTTTCCTTTGCACGTGATCAAGACATCGAGGATGAATTGGCGGAGAGCTCGGACTATCCGCGATCAAGGAAAGACGTTGCGGATGAAAGAAGTGCCGACGAGAGGATCCCCTCTGCATGGGAATCGTGGCGGGACAGACAAAACAGCGAGAGTGCAGTTAAGGATGCGGATGGTCTGGACAGTTTCACGGAAGAAAATACCAACGATGATTTCGAAAAGCCAGTGCAGGTAGTTGATTAAACCTTTCCTCGATACCTAATTTTATTATCATTTGTTTGGTTATTTTCAGTTAAAGAACGCACATTAGAAGACCCCCCCCCCCTTTGTAGCTAACGATGTGTGGTTTATTATATTGACCCGCCAGAAATTGATTTCTTTAAAAACAGAACCACTCAGTAGGTAGGTAATGCAGAGGGAATTAATCGTTGGTTTCATTTCTGCTTAGATTTTCGAGTTTTTGTTTACTCTTTTTTTTTTTGTATTCCTTGTCAGTTCCAGTCCATTTTTGTTTTTCGTTTCTTAATGCCAGATTATATAAAGGTACACTGGTCCGCGATAAGAGGTAAACTAAAGATGTGGAATACCTACTAATGATACGGCGCTTGGTTTTTTTATTTCCATTTTTTCTTTTTTTTAATATACCTATATATTTTTAAAATAAAGCGTGGATAATTCTACCGATTGTCTGGAGTTGAACTACGGTATCCTTCCAAAAATATATAGGCTGTCTTCAAAGTTTTGTATTCAGGTATCTTTAGTTTATGGAGGAAATCATTTGGCCTGTTCCCCGACACAGACACAGACTTTCACAAGACAGTACGCTTGAAAATATTGTTAATATTTGTGGAAATTCCGTAATGGTGAACGTTGAGCCTGAAAGCGCTCAAGAAGTTGCCGATTATCGAACTTACCTTTTTCAGAGTGCCGTGAAACGATCGAGCGGACCAGAGGAACCCAAGTATCACCCGACGGTGTTACAGATCGACCCACTTTCCGGTGACGTGAACCGGAACAACTTGGACAAGAAGAACAGTGGGTCCCACCACCCCACACGGTGCTCGCCGCACTCTCAGTACCACCCCCCCTTTCCGACTTCCCACCACCGCCAACTACCCCCACAGCAGCGCAGCGCCAACCTCACCCCCACCGAGACCATCTTGGTCCAGGAGCCCTACCGGCTGGACAACAACGAAATTTACTCGGTCTGCGACGTCGATGGCAACTGGTCGTGGCCGCTCTCCCAAAACGAGGGCAAAAAGTGGCTGCGGTGGCTCTGGGTTCTCCCTTGCCTTCTCCTGGGCATCCTCATGTTCTTCCTCTTCGTCAAGACGTGCCAGAACTACGCGGAACAACGCGTCCTCGCCAACGCCCGCTGCCGCGACAAAACGTGCCACTTCCAGGATCATTGCCAAAGCGCCGTGTCGCCGCTCATCCGCCCCTCGTTGGAACCGCAGCGGTACCCCCCGCCGACGCGGCCCGTCCACCCGACGTCCATGGGGCAGATGATGCGTCAGATGGGGCACATGGACCAGATGAGCCAGATGGGACACATGAACCAGATGAGCCAGATGGGGCACATGAACCAGATGAGCCAGATGGGGCACATGAGCCAGATGAGCCACATGAACCAGATAAGTCAGCGTGCGAGTCAGATGAGTCAGCTGTACCCCCACCGGCAGCAGTCGATGTGCCAAAACCCGCAGTCGATGGGCCAGAACTCGCGGTCGATAAGTCAGAGCCCGCGGCTGCAGCCTCAGCGGATGCCATCGATGGCCTCCAACCTGAGTAAAATCGGGAAGGCACAAAAGTTGATCTACACCAGTCCCCCGCCGCAGTTTACCGTGCGCACGCAGTCGGCGTTCCCGTGCCCCTACTCAACGCCCCCAACCCCACAGACGCCGCTGCAACAGCAGTGCACGCCGCGATCCACGCCATTCGCGTTGGCGCAGCATTTCCAACACTCGTACGCGAGTCCGTCTCGAATTTCCCAGTGCTCCGGGTTTGTGGCGCCCAATTCGAGGCGTGTGGCGCCCACCCCGAGGTGCGCTAGCCCGCGGCTCACCCGCCAGAGGCTCTCCTCCCCAAAGCCCCAATCTTCCGCCTCCGAGGAGGGCTCGCGCTCCCCCTCGCCGAAACCCCCGTCGTAATCTGGGATCAATATCGGTGCACCCTTCATTGTCTGCCTTGGTTTTTTTACACGTTTTTGCATGGTCGTAATGTAGTTCTAGCGCGTCGCCTCCAGAGTGTAATCTCGTGTTTTTGCGTTGTTTAAGGAATCTAAGCAATTCTCTTCTGTATCTTTGCGAGAGCTCTATTGCCTCGTTTTTTTGTAAGATTTGTAGAAATATATTTTGGGAGTGAAATCCAATTTGTGACCTGCTCGTTTCATTTCATTCGAATGTTAGGAGTCAAGGCTGATTCCTATCCAATAAGTCTACGCAAATAATCAGCCCTTTAATAATCAGTTCGGATTTTTTTACGGGATGGAAGGGAGCAAGGCCAACATCATTTTCCTCGCCTGAAATGTTAACCCACTAATATAATGTTGGTGGTACCAAATAGGTATGTTGTTTTTGTAAATAAGAGCTCTTAGGCCAGCTAAAAATTTTGATCAATAAGCATCAAAGCATGATGCAGATATAACTGACTTCGACTTACCAAGATGGTAATCCATCTCAAATGCAGATAAGTAAATTATGTTGACACGAATTGGTAGTTTTATAGTATTATTTTAACTTGAATAGATTTTCATTGTCGGACATGAATAATTTTTAAAAGCGGTAATCTTCAAAAATCTTGAAGTTCAGAAATCTAGTATGAGCTGAAGATCCTCTTTCTTTGACTACTTATTTTAAACTCACTCAGAAGCGCAAGGTCAAAATTGCTTGTCTTACCACCAATCCGTTGCCATTTTAGCTAGTTATAAAACGATTCAGTAGCTTTCGAAAAATTATTCCGTCCAATTCCCTGCCGTTGAGCGAAGTAATATGTAAATTTAACACACAATATTACGTAATGGGCACACTGAAATAATGTAAATTAAAGATAGTAAAATGCAATTCTCTCTACCTCGATGATGAATGAGTAGATCTTATTTTCATTCTATCAACCGGGCAGTTAGGGCTTCTCTGAAGAATGTAATTCATTATGGCGCCATATCGATTTAACTGACTTCATCTCATGGAACAGACTAATTGTAAGTAAGTACATGAGTCTGATGTCCGCCGCGAATTCCACACTGACCACATTGATATGAGAGCTACGTCAGACTGACGTCAGTGGAACGTCAGACTAACATCAGAGAGATATCTGAGCGTGACGCCAAAACCAATATGAGAGCTATGTCAGACTGACACTAAACTAATTTTTAGTGACTTCAGACTGACACCGGATCGATATCGTAATGACGCCAGACCGATATCGTAATGACGCCAGACTGACACCATACTGACTTCAAGATGAAACTCCGGTGATCGAGTCCGACTCACTTGTACTAGGGTTACAAATAAGGAGGTCGAGCAATTGGAAACCCGTGAGGCGGAGAACGAGACAGAGAGTGTGGTTAATCTGAAGAGAGGCCGGAGAATATTGTGTGTCTTTGCATATTATGAGCTGCGACGTAATATTGTCTGTTAGCTTACCGATTGCTTCGTTCTGGTTCGCAGGTGAGAGCGCGTTCGGTCGACGAGGACGGGTGGTCTCGGGACGGCCTGGAGTCGGCGTTCCGGCGCAAGTCCCGGCTGGACGCGCCCTCGGACACGGACTTCTCCGTCCTGGCCGACATCATCAACAACCCCAAGGCCTGCGGCGGCCCCTACTACAAGCACTCCCGGCTCAAGTCCTGGCTCTGGAGCGGCGTCTTCCTCCTCTCCTTCCTCCTCGTCTGCGTCCTCCTCGTCTGGGTCTGCCGCAAGCTCGGGCTCAAGCTCCACGCCGGCGTCACCTGGGTCGACAAGCCCGGCTGCCCCGGCCCCGAGAAGAAGTGCAGCTGTCGGAAGCGAGGAGGCCAGGACCGCGAGTGCTGCGCCGCCGCCTGCCGCTCCGCCCGCAGCTCGGCCTCGTCCAACTCCGAGTCGGAGGTCTCAGAGTTCCAGGCCCGGGTCGTCAACGAGCGCCGGGAGACCCGGAACCCGGACAAAGAGATCAGGGTCCTCCAGCACCCTCCGCCCCACGGGCAGCTCCACCAGAGCCGCAGTTGTAAAAATATTAAATATTCCACGAAAAAATAGCTAGCTCTACATAAGATGGCTCCCGCTAAACGTTAGGTACCCCGAGAAGAAAAATTCTTTCGGTTTCTATTAGACAGGCGTAAGTCCAAAAAGCTAGGGTTCATGAGCTTTTAAGCTAAGGTTCATGAGTTTTTGGACTTACGTTCGCCTAACAGCAACTTATGAAAGGGTGCTTAGTGGGCGACTGGACAAGGTATCAACTAGAAGCAAACATCACTTGTTACTTCATTAAAATGTCACATAGAAAACGATCCACACAACGGGAAGTTTTGAAATCGACTTCTGGACGAGATATTAACAAGTCTTTTAAACACAGCTCAAATGGAGGTTCGATCATACAAATGACGTTACTTGTATTTTTGCCGTTAAACTGATGTTAATTTTCGACACTCGTATCTTGTTTAGGAGTTGATTTCCAGAGTTTCTGCTGCGCGATTCGTTTTCCTTGTGAAATTTTAAAGAGGTAACATATTATGTAGTTCTTTAATTTATACCTTGTCTTGTGGTCCATTAACATCCTGGTTGTTTAAAATGTGTGACGCCCCCGAAATGTTAGTTTCAACTGCCCTTTCAGTTAAATAAAATCTTCAAGACGTAAAATTGACTGCAGGAGCAGTTAAGACAAACGTTTATTGCTGTCAGTCACATTTTTTTTTATCAATTAAAATGTTCATTCTACATCATATCTTTTTTTAAGGGAGGGTGTAACTCAGCTCTTAAAAATAATGGAGATTGAACCGATATCAATACCTATTCGTTTTGCCAGAGCAATGAGAAATATTTTGTTTGAAATTGGAATTCTTAATGAATATTTCTGACAAGAAAATTCTCTTTAGAACAGCCAGGCTGCCAGGTTTCCTCTTAGGGACGACTGGAATCTCGCCGTGATCTGTAGAATTCCAATTAGCTTAATTCCGGTGCAAGATGCATTCATTCCATGTTTCTCTAGATTTAACGGGAATTTTTCTCAGTGTACTTAAAGATATTAATGAGAAACTATTTGATTTGGTCCAGGCTGATTGCTGTTGATAAATTATTGTGAGGGCTTTCTACTTCTTCAGAGGTTGACATCACTTTACCTCTATAAGAGGTAGATAAATAAGCTCCATCTAATTTAGGCATTTACAGGCAATTAATTGTGAAAGCAGTACACTCTGATTACCCTCCATTGTTCAGTACCAGAGCAAATCCCTCTGAAATTCAAGATGAATTCTTCAATTTTCGACTGTGGCCTGTTGGTAGGCTAACTTGCATGCTTAATAATATGCAGTCACTGATTTCTACAAACTATAGTAAGTATTTTAAAAATAAAATGATAAACATATTTTACACAGAAGAGAATTCTTGAATAACTATATAATACCTTCCCCCCCAAATTCAATAATACACAGGTTAAGGAATAAAAGAGGTTACAGAATGTGTCTCTTCAGTTCATCCTGGATCTATAAAAAAAGACAAAATTTCAGTAGCAAAATTGTTTAATAAATTATATTAAAGGTAAAGGTACAGATAAGAGCATTGTTAGTAATTACTGTCGAAGCACCTTGGAACAATAATACCAAAATGATAATAAACAATAACTTGATAAAACAAGCAGATTTTGGGTATAAATTCAGTGATAATTTGGGGTCCAAAACAGATATAATTTCTTACTCTAGAGCTTCAGTACGATGTATGCTATGGTAAGTAAGTCTTCCAGAAGTATCAAAAAGTTTCAACCTTCTAATATGTTAAGTATCGAAAAAATACTTACTTTAGAAAGGCAAAACCCCCAAAAGAATACAATAATATAAGCTATTACAGCTTATTGCCAAAACCTCAAGTATCACAGTGATAGGCTGCTCAGACTTACTTTTATTACTATATTCCTACAATCGATCCAATCACATTCTGCGATGACGTATACTCTTACAAAATCTATCTCATTGAAAAAACAGAGCTAGTCAGCATAGAAAGAATAATTTCTACCGAAAAAATATTTAAGATTGAAGTTTATGAAATTTCAAAGAGCACCATTACAAGTTACAGGCGCTCACTCATAGATAACTAAGCTAAGGCAAAGTTTGAAAATTTAACGAAGACATGATGAGCACTTTTCCACAGCTAAAACCTCCAGCTGTTTTCATTCTTGTACTTTTCTAAAAACTACTTCGAAACAAGACAGCTAACCAACAGTTTGAAAAATAGTACTTTCTTTTTCATTTTTTATAAAGGGGTTTTAAATTATCCAAACAATGAATCAACCGTGCAAGTTACAGGGTTTTTTTTTACCATTTAATATTGTTAATATATTAAAAAAAATTAGATCTGTTTGGAAAATCTATCCATAATTGTTCAACAGAGGTAAAAAAACGTTACGCACTGTACTCATGCACTGACATAACCCTAGTAGTGTTGACTGTCAAATTTGAATGATGCAAAATTTAAAAAAAAAAAAACTGTTAAAATGTATGGGTTTGAAAAAGTTAGTTTTCGTTATTTTTTAAGAAAAAATTATGTAATATTAACGTTTTGAAAAAAGGTATGAAAAATATTTGCATCAAAGTTTGTTGAATCAAAGAGTCGCTCATATTGATGCTAAAATAAATAAAACAAGTAGCAAAAGCTACCTGCTGAGGGGGCGCCGCCCCCCCAGACCCCCCCTTTCAAATTATATATGTGAGACTTTGAGTATCATAGAAGTCGTGCGGCGACATGCCGAATGAAATGCCACAATTAAAATTATTGGATCAGATGATGAGCTGATAAAAGCCTTACGTAGTAATTTGGGAACATTTCTGACACAGTTTGGTTGCTTTAACTATCACTTTGATTTGCGAAATACAAATCGTTTTCACTTCGCATGTAGTTAAATTTGATTTGGACTGACTTAGTTTCTGATGGATTCAAACTCATAATATACATTTAGGTTCCAGGGAAAGAAAAATGCAGATGAGCTACACTTCACATGAATATAGATTGATTAAAAATAAATAATCCGAAGAAGTGATGGAATAAATGATAATTGTTTACTAAAGTAAATACTATACCTAGGATTCATAGGAATTTTAAATAAAATCCCACCCATCACTAAAATAACCCATATGTATATACTCGTGGTGCCTGCTCTCGGCTCGATTTCGCCGAATGGAATTCTTTATCATCGCGGTT